TACAGAATCGAAGAAAGCTACACGAAGAGCTGCAAAGAAGAAGCGCCTGGCGGCGTTATATGAAGAATTAGAGAAGACTATAAGGGCGAAGATACGAATGGAAGAGCAAGATACCGAAGACGAGGACCAAGAGGACCCGCAAATAGAAGATAGAAGAGAAACCGATAGCACACATGGCACCGAGAATGAAGAACGCGTCATCACCTGGCTGGACACAGCGACCAAGGACACCACCCCCGACGGCGGCACCACCGAACAGTATAGAAGACCGACCGTCGAGGACATCGTACCGATTAGTGGGTCCGTAGCACCACTTGCCGAAGATCCAGTCCCAGGGGCGCTGAAGCCGTGCATAAAGAAGAGTCCGCCGTCCCGTATTGATGAAGCTCAAGAACACGTCGCCCCTACGTTGCCGCCACCGCCACCGCCGGTCCAGCAAGACAGAATGAACGTCTCCGAGCTGGCCGTCGCAATTAACGCCGCCGTCCGTGCCGCCGTACCGCCTGCACCGAGTCCACGCTACGTCGGAGAGCTGCCACCCTTCAGCGGCGCGCACACAGAATGGCTCACCTTCAGGGCGGCGTACCTAGAATCCGCAACCTACCTATCGTCGGCGGAAAATTCATCGAGATTAAGAAGAGCCCTCAAGGGGAAGGCAAGAGAAGCCGTGGGCAGCATGCTGATAAGCAACACTACACCGGGTGACATTATGAAGCAATTGGAGCACAGATTCGGCCGCCCGGACAACATCGCCGCAACCGAAATGGAAAAGCTGCGCCATCTACTCCGACTCACCGATTCGCCGAGGGACATCGTGATTTTTGCAAACAAAATCAAGAACAGCGTCGTCGCACTACAAGTACTGGGGTAAAACGAGTACCTGCGTGCGCCGGATATTATGAAGACGATTATAGAAAAGCTGCCATCGACTATCCGCTTCAGATGGAACGATTACATCAACAATCACCGAATGCAAGAGAAAATGAAGACGGATCCGGAACTATTGATTTTCGCCGAGTTCATCGAAGTCGAGGCAGAAAATAACGCAAGATACGCCCCACCGGAGTACATTGGAAACGAAGAAAACTCCACAACAAGAAAATTTCGAACGCATAACATCGAGGCGACACCCAATAGAAGATTCGATCATTGATAGGAGTCATGATGCGATTCCGTCAACACCAGTACGCCGTGACAGCCGACATCGCCGAAATGTTCATGCGCGTGGGGATCCGACCGGAAGACAGAGATGCACTGCGGTACCTATGGCGCGGTGAAAGAAGAGAGGGACCACCGGAAGAATACAGAATGAAGTCACTCATCTTTGGCGCTACGTGTTCACCAGCCGCCGCTATTTTCGTCAAGAACAAGAACGCCGAGCGATATCGAGAAACGCAACCGACCGCCGTCAACGCCATAGTACAAGCGCACTACATGGATGGCAAGCACTCACCGAGGGACCACTACGCGTTCAACAACCGATAACACTCAACGACGGATCAAGCATAGAAAAAGTACTCGGACTTATGTGGAACCCGCAATCGGATGAATTGGGGTTCAATCTCGAGTTGGCGCGCATCCCATCGGACCTACTTGCAAACAAGGCACCCACGAAGAGAGAAGTTTTGAAAATTGTGATGTCAATCTACGATCCAATGGGACTTGCATCACCAGTCACAGTCAAGGGTAAGCAAATTATACAAGAAATTATACAAGAAATTTGGCGACGTGGCACAGAATGGGACAAGAAAATAGACACCGACCTCGCAGAGCAGTGGACGACCTGGCTACAACACATGAAGGACCTACGAGGCGTCAAAGTACTACGGGCCTACATAGGATACAGCGAAGCCACTTCACTTCAGCTGCACGTCTTCGTGGACGCCAGCGCCACCACGTACGCCGCCGCACTCTACTGGCGGGCCGAGTCACCGGGAGGTCAAGTCGACGTGTCACTTATCACGGCGAAAGCACGCGTGGCTCCACTCAAAGTCACGTCGATACCACGCCTCGAGCTACAAGCCGCAGTCCTAGGAGCAAGAATGGCCGCCACCGTGATCGAAGAACACTCAAGAAAACCAGAATCGAAGACATTTTGGACAGACAGCAAAACAGTATTGTCTTGGGTGCGAACGGGATCGCGCTCATTCAAGCCATTCGTCGCGTATCGCATAGCCGCCATCGAAGAACTCAGCACCATCAACGAGTGGCGATGGGTGCCCACGAAGTTCAACACAGCAGACGACGCCACAAGAGTATCACCGCACGACTTCTACGGCTACCACAGATGGTTCACCGGGCCTCTGTTTCTACGAAACAAGCAAGAAGAATGGCCCGCCGAAACTGCAACCGCAACCGAAGTCACCGGGGAAGAACGCGTGCACCACATAAGCACGAAGAAAGCGCCGTCAATATCCGAAGCTGCACCGGACGTCACTCGATTTTCGCGCTGGGACAAGTTAATTCGGACTACGGTAAGAGTACTACAGTTCATCGACCTCTGCCAAGCGAAAACCGACCGAATTAACTACAGAAGAAAGAAAAACAAAAAGGGAACCCGACTGGAAGAAAAATCGAAAATCGACGCCGACACATAAGAAGAAAACGACACAAATAATTCAAGAAAGAAAATTCATCGCAATCGACCGAAGATACACCGAACACGCAGAGAAAATAATAGTTCGCGTAATACAACATGACGCGTTTCAAGACGAGATAAGACAGCTGCAAGGGGGCGCCACCATCGCTACAAATAGTCGACTCCGCCCACTTTCGCTAATAGTCAACGACGGCGTGTTTTACCTACGAAGCCGGGTCAACGCAGCGGCGGGAGTGACCGAGACACAGAAGACACCGGCGATACTCGACGGGAACCATCGAGCCATCCAACTGTGGATAGAACACACACATAGAAGCCTTCTCCTCGCCGGGGTGGAAACTACAGTCAACGAGTGCAGACAACACTATTGGATTCTACGCATTCGACCCGTCACGAAACAAATAATAAGCAGTTGCATAAACTGCCGCATAAGGAGGGCGGCGCCACCGTCGCCACCTACTGGAGATTTGCCGCCGACGCGCCTCGCTCATCACCGACGGCCATTCACGTACACCGGATTGGATAATTTCGGGCCGTTGACAGTCACCGAGGGCACTGTCAAGAAAAACGCTACGTCGCGCTCTCCACATGCCTTACTACAAGAGCCGGGCACCTCGAGTTGGCCGCCTCACTATCGACGGCGACGAGCGAAGAAGCAAGCATCCGCAGTATCCGGTGGAGGTACATACCACCGGGAGCACCGTTCATGGGCGGGGCGTGGGAACGCCTCGTGAAATCCGTCAAAATCGCGTTAGCTGCGGTTTTACAAGAAAAAAGTCCGCCCGAAGAGGTACTTACGACGCTACTCGCCGAGGCCGAATACACCGTGAACAGCCGGCCTCTCACCCACGTGTCCGTGCACCATGAATACGACGAAGCCATCACTCCTAACCACTTTCTGCTGGGAGGTTCAGCGCGCGTCCCACTGCCGGGCGAGATCGATGACAGCGACCTCATAGGCCGCCCGCACTGGAGAGCAGCACAGCGCCTCGCCGACCACTTCTGGGCGCGCTGGGTACGAGAGTACCTACCCGAGCTGCAACACCGGCGGGAGCCCCACGGGACCGGGAAGACCATCGCCGTTGGAGACATCGTGCTCATCGCCGACAGCAACCTGCCACGCAACACGTGGCCCAAGGGAGTCGTCATCGCCACCTTTCCCGGGCGAGACGGCACAGTACGAGTCGTCGACCTCAAGACAGCCGGAAGAGTGCTACGCAGACCGACCAAGCGACTGGTGATATTCGCATCATCATCGGTCGCCACTCCCACGGAAGAAGGATGCAGCGACGAGTCGACCGACGCTGCACGGCGGGAGTATGTACGCGACGACCGAAGCGAGAAGAAATAAAGTTTACGTCGAAACGAGATTGATTTGTAAAATATGTCTATAATTTCACATGTAACGGATAACGCAGGGCGCAGGGAAACTGTACTAGAATATGATAGTTCGGACCGATAGGAGGGACAGAGACGATAGGCTGTCTCTTTCTAGCAGTCTTATAAGATTTTGCCTAAGTTGATAGCCTTCGAAAATATTATTTAATTGTGTTTGAATTGGTTTGTTTTATATCTTATTAGGAAATAGGTAGATATAGGATTAAGATAGTAAAGTTTTGTGTAGATCGATTTAATAGTTTAGGCGTAATTAAGGGAAACGTTAAATATAGTTTTTTATGAATATTTGATAGGTTATAGGTATAATTTTAATAATTAAGCTTTTATTTTGTGTATTTTCGCTTGCTCTATAGAATGATATAATATGATAGTTAGGCATTAAATGAATGTAAGTAGGTTTTTTAAGATTTTTAAAATTGTAAACTTTATAGGGCTATAGAGCCGTTGTTTGTTATTATTCTTATTAGAAACTTATTGTATTAGATAGATAACGCATAGGACTACATAAATAAATAGGCACCAAATCGATAAATGTAGAAACGTACTGAATATAAGGCAAAATTAGTTTGTATAGAACGATCTCCTAAAACGTTTCGCGCTCCCCTCCCGGCGCACGCAGAGCGCGTGGGTGGGGCAGCGCAGCCCTGAGGCAGGGCGAAGCCCTATGCCCTAAAATATCATGCTTACGGACGCGCAACTGCGCTAAAAATATACCTATTTGTATGCCTAATGTATTTACGTATAGTTTTAAGCTCGCACCTATGTATTTTTTGAATAAATGAAAAATAAAGTATAGCGGGGGTGAGGTAATGGATAGCTGGCCAGCTCAGTCCTAGTATATAAAATTCGAGTTGGAACAGGCTCCGACATGCATTCAGCGACAGGCGCTCCTACCCTAAGGAACAGGAAGAAACAAGCGGTTCACTCTGGACCTGAAGCCTCCTCTCACCGGCCATCCATTATCAGCGCCCACCGATTTCTTCAATACCGCACACCAGGGGTTTTATTCACCGAAGCTACAGTCCACTATCGCCGTCAAGACTCCTGCGTGTAATTTCCTCCACCCCGCAGTACGAGTCGGTAACTGTCCGCTACTGCGACAGCCCGGCGTCCCGTACATAGGTAACTTTGATAGTTATGATTTTTTTAAGCATTTAACTGCTAGATGTTTAAATCTAAAAAAGTCCCGTCCGCTGCCTGGTCCGCATGGATTTTTTTCTAGTAAACTTTTCTTTAGATTTAAACTTTGATAGTTGTAAGTTTTATACTTTTTGAGAAAATCAAACCAGAGTACGAGTTAGCAAGTGACCCGATTTATTTGTATTGTTTGTTTGTGCTTGACTTATAATGTATGTAAAACTTATGTAAAGATTAAAACTAATAATACTAACCTCCTCAATCCAGAGCAACGGGAACAGACCCGTGGGAACTTTCGCCAGTTGCGGCACTTCTGGAATATTCCTTAGCTCAATATTGAACTGGAATCTTCGAAGCCCCTTAAGAACAACTCCCGTCACCTGTAAATAATGCTTTTGTGCCGTACTAAATAGGTAACGGTGACTTGTGATATTATTCTTCATACCTGAATAGGTATGACTACAAAGTACAAGGCGTAAATACGCACGAAACTACCTTTGTCACTTTGAAGTCAAATGGCATTCAGGGAATTCAGACACAATTTGATTTCAACGTTTCAACTCAATGACTCATAACTATGCGAACATGTCGGACTACAGAACAACGCTCTTATGAAGTATCTTTAACTACAATGTAAAATAACATATTCTAGACAAGCATCAAGAAAATTGTTCAATGATTTTTTTATAAACATTGAGTTTGTTTAATATTTATTATAGTAAGGGAGCCCAAGCGGGGATTTTGGGATATACTCGAGTGCGCCAGATTAACTTTTGGCCGTTGCTTAATCGTCAGTCTTTTGAATAGGGGCTACTGGAGGATTCACTTAACGTTTTTGATAATAGAAAAATACTAATCTAGTCGGTTTGCATGGTGTGGCTGTTCAAAAGACTGATGATTAAGACGCGACCCAAACTCATGACCGATTGTTGATTTTCTTTCTATTTTTTTTTGAGTGTGTATGCTGTTGGTCACAGATGACCTTTACAGAGTCACCGGGTTTGGGGACGGCGAGATCCTAAGGGGACCTCAAGCCGAGAATTAGCGAGTGCCTCTAGAGGTGTTCCAAGCGGATAGCATCTCCCCACGGGAGGAGTTTCCTCTCCGTCTGGAGCCTCTAGACCACTCGAACCAGAGAGGGGGAACCACTTTTTTTGTCCTAGACGTCGGGCCCTATATAAAGGGTATGGTGGGACTACCTACTTCACTAGGTGCAAGGTTGCCCCCTATATGTTATTCTGCTGCGCTCGAATAAATCCCAAAATCCACACTTGGGCTCCCTTGGCACTATTACGAATATGGACAGGATAATAGTTGAACCGAACTGAGTTGAATGAACTACAGTTTGACAAAGCACAGCGTTGTTTTCGAAGAACAAACAGACACTTCGACTAAACTTTTTTGAACAACACTCTCAGATTTCATAAGTTTATATTTTGAATACGTGAGATAAAGGTTTAGGCCCCTTCGCTGTGGGCTTCGAAGCTTTTAATATTTCAGTACATTTTGTTCTCACCGACTCTCGGTACCGATAAGTGTCGTGTTTCTCCTTGTGCGGGTCCAGGTTGACCCCGCTAGTGAAGTATTTCAGCAGCCCTCAAAGGCGAAGTAGAAGTTGTTCTTGTACGACTTTTATCTATTTGTTCTCTTACCAGCAGCACTACTCCCATTTCTGTATTTGTATTGTTATGTATTAGATTGACGACTTCCGTGGCCGAGTGGTTTGTACGCCGGGTTTCATAGTGTCGCCGACTCGAGAGGTCCGAGAGAGGTTCGAATCCCGGTGGGGGTAGGATTACCATATCTCAGGATTTGTCCTGAGATATCAGGATTTTTGGACTCTTCTCAGGATTGCGGCTGGATTTTGCAAATCTCATGAAATCTCAGGATTTTTTTGATTTTCCAATAAAATACAGCTTACTATAAAAAGTTAAACTAAAAATAATCAAGTTATGTTTTTATAATCTTCTATTGGTAATAATTGCACAATTAAAATCAGAACTTTATTATCCAAGTAAATAATTAATCAGTTTTATCATACTTAATATGTGAAGATACATTTTTAAGTAAGGTTTTTTCTTTAATTATGGCCCACATGTTAAGCTCTTCAAATTATATTGATTTAAAAGTGTAAGCAGAGTATAAACGATAATATTACGACTTTTTTAAATTGTTGAGAGAAAATTCTCAAACTGTAAAAAATCTCAGGATTTTTCAATGGAAATCAAGCCTTTTCTCCGGACTTTTGATTTTATCATCTGGTAACCCTAGGTGGGGGCAGATGTTTGTGTGATGAATACGAGCATTTATACTCCAATCATGGATGTTTAATATGTATTTCTATATAAATATACTTATATATGTACAGTATATATATTATATCCGTTACCCTAGTATATCATATCACAAGCCTTACAGTGCTTACTTTGGGGCTAGGCTAATTGGTGTGAGTGTTGGCATACAAAAAAAAAGACAGTCTCACCGGCTCGAGGTACGAATAAGTGTCGTGTTTCTCTTTGTCCGGTTTGATGCCGCTGACGAAGTATTGCAGTAGTTCCTCTGAGGCAAGGTAGAAGAAATAATTGTAAGATTGTTATCTATTTGTTAGTCTCACCGGCTCGAGGTATAGATAAGTGTCGTGTTTCTCCTTGTCCGGGTTGATGCCGCTGGCGAAGTATTGTAGCAGTTCCTCGGAAGCGAGGTAGAAGTGAGGCAGATAGGCCACCGTGGGAGCGCCTTGACACGGCTCGAGGTTCAGGACGTCCATCAGTAGGCAAGCAAGGTGTTAACTTTAGTTCCTGTATGATTACTATCTATTTGTTATTCTCACCGGCTCGAGGTATAGATAAGTGTCGTGTTTCTCCTTGTCCGGGTTGATGCCGCTGGCGAAGTATTGCAGCAGTTCCTCGGAAGCGAGGTAGAAGTGCGGCAGGGAGGCGATGGCGGGCGCGCCCTGACACGGCGCGAGGTTCATTACGCCCATCAGTAGGCAACCATCGTGGTTTGCGCTCCAGTTCCTAAGTAATATAGAATAACTATACTAGTCATGCAACCGCATTCATAGACATTACTTGACTGTAAAGTTTGGTTGAAATAATTGAATTGAGTAACAGGTAAAGGTCGTTGCAGACATATCAACTCGAAAAGGGATACAAAGAATTTGTATGAAACTCCCTACGATATGCGTATATAAGCAACCGTGACTTTAAGCAATTCTGGTTATAGGGAAGGCCAGTGCCTCAGTAGTAAGAATCTTTTTATCAGGAAAATCAAAATAAGTTTATAAATAAAATCACTTTCTGCAGTAGCATTTGTTGTTCGGATTGGCGCTCCTCGCCGCTAGAACGTCACTCGATATAGAGTAATGGAACGCCGACATGTTGAACACTGTAGTTTTCCCCACAAGAGTTGCAAACATTGATCTGGAAAAAAAAAACAGAATCCTAAACTTCTTTGTTTTGATGTTTTTAGGTGTAAGTAAATCACATGAAGAGGAACTCTTAACTAACGGAAATGATAAAATAACTGGCACGCGTGGCGCAATAAAAAATTGCTACGAATGAATCAGAGTGATGGTGACGAATGAAGATCAGTTTTTTAGCGCTTTTTAGGGTTCCGTACCTCAAAAGGAAAACGGAATATATAGGATCATTTTGTTGTCCGTCCGTCCGTCAGTCCGTCTGTCAAGACCGTTTTTCTCAGGAACGCGTGGACGTATCAAACTGAAATTCATATCTAATACTCGTCTACTGTCCCTTGGAGCTGTGACAAAGGCAAACTTCTAATCCAAAGCAATCAAAAGATACAGCCGTTTATGCCGCAAATCGAAACTTGCACGGGAATCAAAACCTACAGGGTACTTCCCGTGAACTTAGAATCTTTAAAGGTACGATGTAACGTCTTATAGTACAGATAAAGGAAAAATTACGAAAACCGTAAATTTTTAGTTACATCATAACATAAAAAATATTTTTGAAAATTTTAAAGTTACTACCTCTTTTCTCATGAACGCGTAGAGGTTTTAAATTGAGTTTGTATGGAACCCTCGGTGCGCGAGTCCGACTCGCACTTGACCGGGTTTTTTTACGTAGCACAGGAAAGTGCAAAAACAAAATATTATTACTAGAGGCCTTTTTAATTACAAGAAACCTTTCTATACCATGTCGGAACTCGACAGTGCAGTAAGCTTACTGATGCGCATTCGTTCTACGAATTCTGCGATTCTCGAAGTGAGGAATCATCATCTATCGCGATAGCCAGCAGTCATCGAATGTGTGATCAAAATTTGCTGTCCCGAGCTCCTCTGTACTTTAGATGGCATTTTAAGATATTTTTAATGGATGTTATTGAAGCTGTTTAAGACCTGTTTTTCCCTAAAAGGTTAACTTAATAAGGAAGACATGATTGAACTTCAGTGATTTTTGATACTCAGCCAGCCCCGCAAATAATATACCTGTCCAGACAGAAATCCAGAGGAAGTATCTTGAACATCGTGTTCTACTGAACTCTTAACATCGTCGAAGATAGAACACGAAATGTAGACCAAAAACTGTCCCCTTATCGATCAATAGGAAGATCGAGGATTAGGATCCCTTTAGCTGACCGCAGTACCGGTCAAATTGTATAAGACGGTGTGGCCCAACTCCCGGATGTTTTCCAAATATTATACTGATTGGCAGAGGATATTGCACTTCATCATCATCGACCCAGGCACGTCCACTGCTGGACATAGGTCTCCCCTAATCACGGAGTACCCCCACTAGAGTCCGCATCACGCAAATTTTGTTTGAAATCAAAATCGCCAAAGTCGGTGGCGTGCAGGGAGATCAGCCGCGTTGTGATTGGACACGTCAAGGTCAGATGATATACTCAGTGCAGCGAAGTGATGAGGGTAAGATCGATTTTAGAAAATATCGATATTTTCTATCGATAAATAAAGGACACCCGGCATTATGTGCCAAAGTTGTATACTTTTTTAATTTTTTTATCTGTGTTTCATAATTGGGTAACGTAGTCTGGCAATATTTGTCATCAGCAGCTAGCTGTCAATGTCAAATACGTAGGTTTGTCAATATAACCTCTATATGTAGCCGGGTCGTCAAGAGAAATAACGGATAGAAAGGCGGGATAGGATGCGAAATGCGAATGATTTTTTTGTTTGTATTTTAGGATTGTCAAATTGACATTTGGTTTTTTATTTAGAAAAAGCAAAGGAATCATGGTTTTTACAGTCACTTGAGTAATATTTTCAAGTAAAATTCTGTCCCTTGAAGATTTAGGGTTTCCATATCAAAAAACATTAATCATTATATAACTTCTTTCCACGATTCACTAAAAATAAGGCAAAATTAGTTTTATGTAGCAAATAATTTTGGCTTCATTTTGAGACCAAATTCAACTGTATACAAGTTTAGCATTTTTTCTATGAAAAGTGCCGGTTCTCCATTGTACAGAGGCCTAGTACTTTGGTGCGCTAGTGTAGCTATGCGCAAACATACTCTCTCCACTTTCTTCCAGCGTTCTAATTACATGACGCGACTAGTAACTACATACTAAATAAAATATAAGCAACCCAAAAAACACGTAAAAAAATATCTAGATAGACAATAATATGCTGTTTATGACAACTTTTAAAACTTAAGGCGCCTTACTCATCGGCTCGGTACAGGTTCGTTTTGTTTTCGGGAGTGACTGTCAGTGGTAAAGTGACGAGAACATATGTAACTGTTTACAGTTGGAGTCCAATCTTTACGTTTAGTTGCACTTATCCAAAGTTCCTTCATCTTGGCACATTTTGAAAACCTAAATAAAACACGTAATGTTACTGTATTTTGATTCTCGCATCAGTCTGTAAGAAATCACCTTAAATATCTCTTTAAAGATTTTGCTCGTTGCTGTTCTCGTGAAAGGCACATGCGATATACAGACTTAATGAATTTAATATTAATACGGTGACGTCCGTGGCTCTTGACTTAGCACACGCAAAATAACCTAAGTATAACCAAATTATTGATTTTGAAGGAACTTGGTAAATACTTATCAAAGTTTATGCTAGCTCCCACCCGCGACTTCATCCACGTTAACTTTAGTTTTTTGAAAATCCTAAAGAAACCTGACATTTTTCCGTTACAAAAAGTATTCTATACAACGATATTTTATACCCTAGATACGACAACATGTACAAAATCGTAGCCGAAACGTGACCAAAAGGTACATTTGACGATTCACAGAGGTCCGTAAGATGATCGCGTGGTCAAAAACAATGTAATGCATTATTTAAAAAAAAGTCACCTTTAATGCATACGGCATAAGCTCTTAATTAAAACGCATGCATCAAAGATTTATGGCAGTTCAAAATGCAAGTTCCTAAAATTTTACGACTTATTGTTATATGCGAAAGAAAATAGACCTTATTTTTTTTAACTTTTCGCGCTCAATTCTGAATGTGCTGTTAGCTATTATAGCAGGTACAGACCGCGAAGAAAAAAGACGGCTATAGGGCGACGTATAACCGACCATGCTTTTGAGTATCACAAATATGTTATATTAAATCAGTTTATAGTAAGTATTACAATAAAATTTGCTTCAAATGCGTTAAATTTATAATAATAATAACGTTTATTTGGCTCAAATTATATAAATAACTTATTGTATTACATAAAGATGACTATGTACCAAATTATAAAAACATTAATTAGATACCTGTCGAAAAAACAACACTTTACGTACTATTAGTATTTTTTTCGCATTTTTACGGAGCTCTGCGGCATTTTGACTTTTCATCGGTCCGCGCGTGACTGTAAACCAAAAAGTGCTTGAATAAAGTTTAAGCACTTCTTGATTGGGACACATTTTGAGCGATCGTGGTCTATCTAGGGTATTTAATATCGTTAATTCCATGTCTTTATCTAGGTCATAAAGTATGCGCACTTAATTTCATACAAATCGGTTTAATCGTGTAATAGTAACAAACATCCATACAAATTTTCGGGTTTAAAATTTTAGTACGATATGATTAAAAACTGTTGGTTGTATACTCATGATATCTGTTATTGTATACGATGAAATAAATAGTTTTTATTTATTTTTTCTATTTCCGTAGCTGACAAACTTATCGATAAACTTACGGGTACAGACATGAGCTGCGTCAAGTCACTAGCAATACACGTGCCGGTGTGAGAGCGGAATAGCATATATGATGTAGCGCATGCGAGAAAGGGATAGTGTTAAAAAGCATCAACGCGTTCACCAAAAAATAAATACATTTAAAAGCAATTTCATATAAGAGTATTTTTGTCTTTTTGTAATGCATTTAAACTTACAGGTGAAAAGTAATACCATCTTTTTGAAGACTGGAAGTTTTACTTCACTTTCCACATAATTTAATTGCACAGTACGGCATTTTTTCTAGTTTTTTAACGCAAAAACGAGAGAAGCGCTTCTGCTAACGCTCGGCTTCGGAATGAAACGATGTATAGCGACGTCTGTGGGCGTGTCTCACGCATACGTAATATACTACTTAAGCTTGGCGTAAGCGCTTGCCCTTGTATGCGGACTCTAGTGGGGGTGCTCCATGCCCCTAATGCACGCCACTGCTCCCGATTTTCTGCCACTCTCATCCAGCTCACGCCAGCCAGCCTACGAATGTCATCATCCCATCTTGTCTCAGGGCGTCCCACACTACGTTTACCGAGTCGCGGTCTCCACTCAAGAACTTTACGGCTCCATCGGCCGTCAGGTGACCAGCCCACTGCCACTTCAGTTTGCTAATTGAACTTAATAAGGAATATTAACTCACCTGCAGATCTCGGGCTCGAATATATATAATCGTTGCGGCACATTGCCCCCATCGATCGGTGGGAAGATGGAGGAGTCTGATCCGTTGAGTTGTCCACAGTACGGGTCGCCCCACTGAGACATGGAGCGCTCCCCCTTGTATGCAACTACGTGACCCAATTCCCTGATGTCTTCTGTACCGCGAACCATGTCGTACGGGCCGGATTCCGTGCGATTCATCTGTACATACGAAAAAAGTTTTTTTGCATATTGCATATTGTCCGCCCGATGGTCAGCAGCTACCATAGCCTATAGACGCTTGCAATGCCAAAGTTATCACTCGCACGGCGCGCCGTTGTCTATGACCAAATCCTAGCCCTGGAACCTTACTCGCAAACAGAAACATAACACCACCAAAAGGTAGTGTTAATTTACTGTAGTTTCATTATTTTCAAAAAATACACCTCAATCCTATTTGTTCGCACTTGGTCGGATTCGCAAAAGGACGGATTCTCATTTCGATGGAATACAGATAACAAGAAAAACCACTGCTGCTGCTTACGAGAATAACACCAAGCTGTTTTTCTGTTTACTTTTATTTTAAAAATAAATAATGAAAAAAAGGAATCAATGTAAAACTGATACGATTTTTTTTAAAGTGACACTTTTATGTTATTGCATAATGTAGTTGTAATAACTTTAACCAAGCGTCATAAAACGCTGCCTCCCTCATCAGCAAATTTAAAAATAAATGCAATGTTCACTTTTTCAGAATGGCGACGCCAACCTATGGTATTTGTAGTATGCTGCTTTTCTTGATGCTGGGTAAAGTATTATTATTAATATGTATTTCTCCATATAGGAGTGGTTATGGGTAGTCATGCTCTCTTAAAAATCTCTTCGGCGGTGTCGTGTGAGGCGGGTCGTTGCGTTCCCTACAATATGGTTGAGCGAAACGAATGGCTGGTTCATGCGTCATGCTCGTGAACGGGTGCTGCCAGTGGAGATGAGTCTGCTCTATACTACTTTATTATTATTATAATGATAATTAATTATTTAATTTAAATTTTATTTGTAATTGTATTTATACTGTATGGCACAGCAATCACAATCAAAATCAAAAAATTTAGGTGAACATTTATTATTTCTGAGATAAAGATTTAATAGTGGTGTGGATTCTGGCATGGTTCTCTAGACCTGAACTTTGGTTTTGCAGCGGTGTATCCTTGTCATTCTCTATACAGAGTGAAGGGGGGGCACTGATGTTGGGTTTGGTTTTGGGTTTGGAGGGTAGTGGCAGAGTCGACACTAGTGTTTAGGTAACCACATTTATGTGTCCTACAGTTGTGTTTATAGTTTTTTATAGTAATTTACACTGGTACTTAATTTTTTTTTCCCCTATTTTGCTATCTAGTATCCATATGTGGTTATGGGTAGTCATACTCTCTTAAAAATCTCTTCGGCGGTGTCGTGTGAGGCTGGTCGTTATGTTCCCTAAAAAATGGTTGAGCGAAGCGATGGCTGGTTCATGCGTCATGCTCGTGAACGGGTGCTGCCAGCGGAGATGAGTCTGCTCTTGCTACATTGGGTACTATTAATCGTTGTATTTAACTTTAATGGTACATTTGTTTTTATGCCTAAACAGTGGGACACGGCATTCCTAACTTTTCTCATTTTAAATCTGTTTTTTATATTTTTTATTTTATAGTCATAATTGTTTTATCATTTACATTTGTAATGGAAAGTGACTTCATGGGTTATCTCATATTGAACTCATTTTTCAAATTGACTCTGTATATAATACAGGGAGAAAAAAACAGCCTTTGCTGAGTTTCTTGCCGGTTCTTCTCAGTACAAGGTCTCCCGCCGTAGATTTGCGAACCGATGGCGTAGCTTTTCGACATTCACAAGTGCTTGTAACAGCCTAGACTGAATAAACGATATTGAATTTTTTTGAATTTTATAACTGTACTGACTCCGGCGTACCATGAGAACTTTGACATATTTTCATCTTAAAAATCTATAACTCCCGTGTTAAGAAAGATTTTTTTTATTATAATGTTTTTGTGTATACAATAGTGTGTGTAGAACATCTTCGTTGGTGGCTGTCCTCGAAAATTTTCATGCATGATGAAGCCTGAATTGTTTATAGTCTTTGTTCCGTGAATCTTGAGCATCTTCCTAAAGTTGCCCAAGAGGCAATACCGAAAAATGACGTATGACACTTTCACGATGAAGGTTTTGAACCTTATGCATGGAAAATGGCATGTAGTATCATTAAGTTGTGCTGTATCAAATGCATACTGACCAAATTTTGTGGCATCAATACCTCTACCGCTTCACATGACCTGAAGTATAACACGTTTTATTAATTGCTCACCTATACCAGTGATCTCTGACGTACCTACTCGAAATTTTGAAAAAAAAACTGGCTGAATTGCCGTCATTAGTGTTACCACTAACTTGCTTCGGTTTATCCATATTTAGTCCAAGTTCGTCTGTGAACCTTCTTTGTACAAAAGTCTTCTTTTGCTTTTTCAAATCTTTGTTTTCTGTTGTTGCGGCAGACCATTTTTCAAAACAGAGATTGTAAGATAAATCTATACTTATAATTAATCTGTAGAGATGTCAATTCTGTACATGAAATATATTTTTAAAATAACTATCAGGGGGTGATTAGTGATCGATACTGATGACAAAAATGCAATTAGTAAATTTTTTGTCTGTCTGTCTGTGTGTATGTTCCTTATAGAAACAAAAACTACTCGACGGATTTTAACGAAACTTGGTACAATTATTCTTCATACTCCTGGGCAGGTTATAGTAAACTTTTCATCACGCTACAATCAATAGGAGCAGAGTAGTGAAGGGAAATGTTGGGAAAACGGGAGAAGTTACTCTATTTTTAAGCTTCCGTCGCGTGTGCAGTCTTAATGATTAAAGTTACATAGAAATCATGTATGACGGAAATATTCTACATAAAATTGTCTAAAAATATCCCGCAACAGCATATGTCTATCTTTTATGCTTGACTCACAGTAACACGTGTAACTCCCGATAGCTTAGCAGTTCGGAGCATTCTGATCATATTTGTTTACTCTTACGTTTATAATACTCTGACTCATCCCTAATTTAAAAAAGTTAACATTATTACCTATTCAATAAAAACAAAACATAGAAATCGGTATAGAAACACCAAACTTATACATGAAATAAGCCATCGCGCCGTCGCACGTGAATACTGAATCATGCTATAAGGATTATTTTTGTGTAACGGTTGCCGCGCTCGACACGGGTCGCGGCGGCGGTAGGGTATCAAAAGGCGGGAGGAAAGAAAGGAAATCTGTTTTCTGCGTCGCTCCCCCCCCTGGGGGACGATCGCTTCCGATGAAGCCTTAGAGGCCTTCCCGGCCAGAGGTAGCCACTACGGGTGTTTTTTAGTCAGTACGAGTCTGACATAACCTTGCAGCCGGCTGTAGGGTATCCATGAGGATTTCTCACCTGCTCCCCCGCCTGGGAGGAAACAAAAAAAAAATAAAAAAAAGAGAGCGATCGAGCTTCAATATTTGGCTGTTGATGCGTTCAGAGCGTTCGAATTGATATTGAGAAACCGTGCTTATCAGCGCGACTTTTAGTCTTTATATAGTTTATTTGAATTTCTTTTGTTGTTATTTTGTAAAATAGGTATTAGTTGTTTTGGTAGTGTTTAAATATTCGTTCAAATTAAAAATTATTAAGCGTAGGTACTTTTATTAATTAAAGTAGTTATAAGTATTTATTTTTAAGTGAAGTAGGTATAGGTAGATAGTATTGCACAGGCGTTTCAGCTTTATTTTCATTTCTTTTTTGTTGTGAGTTGTATATATTCTTATATCTCTTTTATAATTCTATAAGAATATTTTAGTTTAAATAGTCACTTAGATTTTAAGTGTAAGGTAGCTTAAGTTAGGACCACGTATTAGTTGTTTTGGTAGTGTTTAAATATTCGTTCAAAGTGTAATTTAATCATATGGGATGAATGTACGATGGCCCATCGAAAAGGAGTAGAAGCGGTAGACAGAACTTTAAAGGATATAAGACAAAATGATCAACCAATGGGCGGTATCACCCATAATGGTAATAGTTTTATTCTGTGGTGATTTCCGACAAACCTTACCGGTAATACCACGGGGAACCCGAGCTGATGAGGTTAGGGCTTGCCTGAAAAGCTCTTATTTGTGGCGTGATATACAATCGGTGCATTTGACTATAAACATGCGAGTGAGAACTGTAGATAACCCGGATGATCGTGAATTTTCTGATATATTATTAAAGAAAATACCACGGGGAACCCGAGCTGATGAGGTTAGGGCTTGCCTGAAAAGCTCTTATTTGTGGCGTGATATACAATCGGTGCATTTGACTATAAACATGCGAGTGAGAACTGTAGATAACCCGGATGATCGTGAATTTTCTGATATATTATTAAAGAAAATACCTTCACCAAAGGTACCTATCCACTGCTACACCAAGGAAAACTTATTCTGACGCCTGAGTTATGTTGTATAGTGCAATCCCAACAACATCTTACATCGTCAGTTTACGGTGACGTAACAAATATATTAAATAAGGACAATTCTTTTTTTCAAATTTTAACAGGTTGCGGTGCAGGAGAAACCATCTTTATTCCCAGAATTCCCATAATACCAAATAATTTTCCATTCCAATTTAAAAGAACGCAAGTCCCAGTATCGGTGTGTTTTGCAATGACAATAAATAAGGCTCAAGGGCAGACTTTTCGTGTTGCTGGAGTAGATCTCGGTGTCAGTTGTTTTTCACATGGTCAGTTATGTCGCTCTTTCCCGGGTTAGCAGTCCTAGAAATTTTTATCTTCACGTGCCGGACGGGTCAACTTTCAACGTAGTTTACCCGGAAGCTTTGCGCTGAAGTATTTTCATTCCATATGTACTTAAGCCTCATGTGAAAGCAATCTAAACAATATTACCAATACATTAACATAATAACATACAAGGAGTTACACGCTGATGGTCTCGGGGCACAGTGATAATAATAATATTCTGCGGTTCCTTATTGCGATATTTTTAACAGTATTGTGGATTGACATATTATATTTCCCTACTAAAATACGAAAGTTAATCTGTCTGTCACATCAAAACCACGGAACCCTGAGGAAGGACATATGCTACTTTTTTGCGAAAATCGACGAAAACGCTGACGAAGTCGCGGGCAAAAGCTAGTGTAAAATAAGTTCCATGAATCTGATCGAATAATGCAAAGTTGAAAGGCTATATTGATAGGAAGTTTCATCGACAGGATTATTTTGCACTTTTTCTAAATTGTTCATCTCTGTAGGTCTTGCATCACAAATTGTACATACCGCACCTGATGAAGTTTCTGTCAAAACTTGAGCCACTTTTCCGTCGATCATAGTTAAAAATAACGTATGTTTTATTTCAATACGAAACAAGTGCAAAATTTTGAGCATTTATTTCTTCACCTACGCTTTTGTCTTCTCAGGCGTTTCTTTCAGAAATCTTACTGATGATAGAGCAGGATTATTTCACAATACTTAATTAGTATTCGTATCTACAAGTCTCAAGGGCGCTAACGATGATATAAATAAATTAGAGTCTGAAATAGTATCACTCTCTTCAAGTAACTACAGGCAACTACGGAACAGATATCTTTTTTTCGCTAGATCGGGGGGCACGGCAGTGCCCCCGATAAGTCGAGCGCGAAGCAAACACTGCCGTACCATCTTTACTGGAACCATTACGACGCATTTTCAGGCCCCTATTTGAGAACCTCTGGATAAGACCAGAACGCTGAAATTTTCGTCATCCAGTAAGCTATAATAGCATACTTAAAATCCAAAATTTCAAGTCTGTAGGTCATTTAGTTCCGAAGTAAAGCGAAAGCAAAGTTTCGCATTTACGACACTCACTCACTCATGATCATCAGAATAGAACTAGTACTTCCCATAAACTCAGAGAGCTGAAATTTGGTACAGAGTTAGGGTTTAATGACCACATAAAGGGAAAACTATAAAAACTAGGATAATCGAAGATCTGAAGTACCTGGTGACCCTGATTCTGTATAACACTAGACTGACTTTTATACTTATACTTACAAGTTTACAGGAAAAAATAGTCGAACGATTAACTTTATTCTGCTCGAACATTACATTAATTTAATAAAGAAATTACACTAAAATATTAATTTTAGTCAAAATATATTGCATTGGACTAAGTCTAAGGTTCCTTACTGCGATTTCTTTATTGACTTGGCACGACTTTGTCTAGATTTCATTACATTTTAGAGATAAACAAGCAGCTCCATCGAGACTTGGCTAGTTTTTTACAGAATGTTTTTGGTGGGATACCAATTATAATTAACGTCAGGTAGTGTTACAATTTGGTAAGCCTTCTTTGAAAGAAACGTGTCTTCATCAGTCAGCCCTTATTTACCTATATTATACTGAATATACAAAAAAAGCATTTCTTACGTGCGAGAACATAGAGAAGTAATATCCTGTTCCATCCTCAGTAGGTCGCATAGTGGGCGGTGTGTCAGACTTCAGCTGTCCGCACACCAATCCTGAAAGCATAGGTATGTGTTATTTTCGCAGTAATATTTAATGTTGCTACATTGTTCTTGGACTGACATTCTGCCATCTTGTATAGCAACTAATTATACTATAGTTGTCTAGAAAAGAATGTGTGAGCGACTGAATAGAGGAAAAGCATTTCACCAGCACAGTGCGAAATGGTGCAGGCAGATACTGAAGGAAACAAGTCGACGTACTTTAAGTTAATACTTAAAGGTGGGTGAGATTATTCAAGAAAAGAAAAAAGATAAAGATGCAGCGACTGCTAACTCTCGATTAAATTAAAACTAGATATGTCATATAGAAAATCTCAAAATGACAATGTTAATTTGACATTATTTTATGGTTTACATTTAGTAAACCACCTAATCAAATTATAATAATGGCATTTCATATTATTATTTCTGAAAAAAATACATTTTTTATCAACTAGCGGCCGCCCATGACTTCGTCTGCGTTTACTTTGGTATTTTGAGAATCCTTCAGGAACCTAAAAAAAAATCCGGGATATAAAGTATCCTATATCTCAATCTCATTCCAAGGCATAAACTATATGCGTTCCAAATTGCATCCGAATCCGTTAAGTATTTTTTACGTGATTGAGTAACAGACTTACAAAATTTCACATCTATACTTATAATAAATCTGTAGAGATGTCAATTCTGTACATGAAATATATTTTTAAAATAACTATCAGGGGGTGATTAGTGATCGATACTGATGACAAAAATGCAATTAGTAAATTTTTTGTCTGTCTGTCTGTCTGTGTGTATGTTCCTTATAGAAACAAAAACTACTCGACGGATTTTAACGAAACTTGGTACAATTATTCTTCATACTCCTGGGCAGGTTATAGTATACTTTTCATCACGATACAATCAATAGGAGCAGAGTAGTGAAGGGAAATGTTGGGAAAACGGGAGAAGTTACTCTATTTTTAAGCTTCCATCGCGTGTGCAGTCTTAATGATTAAAGTTACATAGAAATCATGTATGACGGAAATATTCTACATAAAATTGTCTAAAAAATATCCCGCAACAGCATATATCTATCTTTTATGCTTGACTCACAGTAACACGTGTAACTCCCGATAGCTTAGCAGTTCGGAGCATTCTGATCATATTTGTTTACTCTTACGTTTATAATACTCTGACTCATCCCTAATTTAAAAAAGTTAACATTATTACCTATTCAATAAAAACAAAACATAGAAATCGGTATAGAAACACCAAACTTATACATGAAATAAGCCATCGCGCCGTCGCACGTGAATACTGAATCATGCTATAAGGATTATTTTTGTGTAACGGTTGCCGCGCTCGACACGGGTCGCGGCGGCGGTAGGGTATCAAAAGGCGGGAGGAAAGAAAGGAAATCTGTTTTCTGCGTCGCTCCCCCCCCTGGGGGACGATCGCTTCCGATGAAGCCTTAGAGGCCTTCCCGGCCAGAGGCAGCCACTACGGGTGTTTTTTAGTCAGAACGAGTCTGACATAACCTTTCAGCCGGCTGTAGGGTATCCATGAGGATTTCTCACCTGCTCCCCCGCCTGGGAGGAAACAAAAAAAAATAAAAAAAAGAGAGCGATCGAGCTTCAATATTTGGCTGTTGATGCGTTCAGAGCGTTCGAATTGATATTGAGAAACCGTGCTTATCAGCGCGACTTTTAGTCTTTATATAGTTTATTTGAATTTCTTTTGTTGTTATTTTGTAAAATAGGTATTAGTTGTTTTGGTAGTGTTTAAATATTCGTTCAAATTAAAAATTATTAAGCGTAGGTACTTTTATTAATTAAAGTAGTTATAAGTATTTATTTTTAAGTGAAGTAGGTATAGGTAGATAGTATTGCACAGGCGTTTCAGCTTTATTTTCATTTCTTTTTTGTTGTGAGTTGTATATATTTCTGGTTATAATTCTATAAGAATATTTTAGTTTAAATAGTCACTAAGATTTTAAGTGTAAGGTAGCTAAAGTTAGGACCACGTATCAGTTGTTTTGGTAGTGTTTAAATATTCGTTCAAAGTGTAATTTAATGATATAGGATGAATGTACTATGGCCCATCGAAAAGGAGTAGAAGCGATAGACAGAACTTTAAGGGATATAAGACAAAATGATCGACCAATGGGCGGTATCACTGTTTTATTTTGTGGTGATTTCCGACAAACCTTACCGGTAATCTTACGGGGTACCCGAGCTGATGAGGTTAGGGCTTGCCTGAAAAGCTCTTATTTGTGGCGTGATATACAATCGGTGCATTTGACTATAAACATGCGAGTGAGAACTGTAGATAACCCGGATGATCGTGAATTTTCTGATATATTATTAAAGAAAATACCACGGGGAACCCGAGCTGATGAGGTTAGGGCTTGCCTGAAAAGCTCTTATTTGTGGCGTGATATACAATCGGTGCATTTGACTATAAACATGCGAGTGAGAACTGTAGATAACCCGGATGATCGTGAATTTTCTGATATATTATTAAAGAAAATACCTTCACCAAAGGTACCTATCCACTGCTACATCAAGGAAAACTTATTCTGACGCCTGAGTTATGTTGTATAGTGCAATCCCAACAACATCTTACATCGTCAGTTTACGGTGACGTAACAAATATATTAAATAAGGACAATTCTTTTTTTCAAATTTTAACAGGTTGCGGTGCAGGAGAAACCATCTTTATTCCCAGAATTCCCATAATCTATACTTATAATAAATCTGTAGAGACGTCAATTCTGTACATGAAATATATTTTCAAAATAACTATCAGGGGGTGATTAGTGATCGATACTGATGCCAAAAATGCAATCAGTAAAATTTTTGTCTGTCTGTCTGTGTGTATGTTCCTTATAGAAACAAAAACTACTCGACGGATTTTAACGAAACTTGGTACAATTATTCTTCATATTCCTGGGCAGGTTATAGTAGACTTTTCATCACGCTACAATCAATAGCAGCAGAGTAGTGAAGGGAAATGTTGGGAAAACGGGAGAAGTTACTCCATTTTTTAAGCTTCCGTCGCGTGTGCAGCCTTAATGGTTAAAGTTACATAGAAATCATGTATAACGGAAATATTCTACATAAAATTGTCTAAAAAATATCCCGCAACAGCATATGTCTATCTTTTATGGTTGACTCACAATAACACGTGTAATTATATAAATAAAGTCATTGTTTATAGCACAAGCCTGAGAACAAAAATTATAGTTTACACTACAGCTCTACACCGAAGCGAAGCGAGGGCGGGCCACTAGTACCAAATAATTTTTCATTCCAATTTAAAAGAACGCAATTCCCAGTATCGGTGTGTTATGCAATGACAATAAATAAGGCTCAAGGGCAGACTTTTCGTGTTGCTGGAGTAGATCTCGGTGTCAGTTGTTTTTCACATGGTCAGTTATGTCGCTCTTTCCCGGGTTAGCAGTCCTAGAAATTTTTATCTTCACGTGCCGGACGGGTCAACTTTCAACGTAGTTTACCCGGAAGCTTTGCGCTGAAGTATTTTCATTCCATATGTACTTAAGCCTCATGTGAAAGCAATCTAAACAATATTACCAATACATTAACATAATAACATACAAGGAGTTACACGCTGATGGTCTCGGGGCACAGTGATAATAATAATATTCTGCGGTTCCTTATTGCGATATTTTTAATAGTATTGTGGATTGACATATTATATTTCCCTACTAAAATACGAAAGTTAATCTGTCTGTCACATCAAAACCACGGAACCCTGAGGAAGGACATATGCTACTTTTTTACGAAAATCGACGAAAACGCTGACGAAGTCGCGGGCAAAAGCTAGTTTATTATATTAGTTAAGCAGTAGGGTAAAGTGAGACGAAAATATATGTATACTTAAGTTATGTGTTTATATTTACACTAGCTGTCCCAGCGAACTTCGTACCGCCATAAAAAAATAGGGGTTGGTGGTAGAAGGGTGAAAATTTAGGGTTGTATGTATTTGTGTGTGATGAATCATAAAAAAAATAAAAAAAAAATATCTAAAATTGAAAAAAAAAATTAGGGGTGGATTACCTCAACATTTAGGGGGATGAAAAATAGATGTTGTCTGATTCTCAGACCTACCCAATATGCACACAAAATTTCATGAGAATCGGCAAAGCCGTTTCCGAGGAGTTTAACCACAAACACCGCGACACGAGAATTTTATATATAAGATAGAAGTATTTAAATAACAAAAGCTTAAAACCAGTTAATTTCTAAAAACTTAAAAACCAGAAATAACTAAGTACCTACCTAAATAATATGCAATCTACAAAATAAAAATTATATCGCGCCGCCGTCAGGAATGGTGCCCAATAGGCTGGCAGCATTTCCACGTTGGATAGCAAGGCAAATCCGTTGACCGAGGTCAAGTTATTATATTATTAAATAAATAAACCACAAAACCGGTTTCTGAAAAATATTCCTTAAAACCCGAACAAACGCTTGGCAATTTCCAATCACAACGTTATTATACGTGACTACCAATAGTAACACCCGGTATACAGCTCTCTATAAACTACACCTTCAATCGAGTTTACAAGACCTTTGTTACTTTAGCACTCTCACCTACAGCGTAAACAGCTGCTACGAGCCCGGATCCAGTAATATATCTAGTATGGCACATTTTCTACAGGGATTTCTTTGCTCCATAAATTGCAACCCTTTTTCAGTAGCTGGCCGGCTCCCCGGCTATAAACCCAAATGGAAATTTTGTTGACCCATTTTATACTTCCTTCATATGTTACCTAGTTTCGGTAATTGGGAGAATAGTCTCATCTCGAACTTCGAAAACTAGCAAAATTCTGCGTTTCAAGTAGGTATTTAAGTTTTGATGACGATGATGATGATTTTGTTCAAACCGTGTTTTCGTCTTTTATTAAGTTCTCGTTTAAATCTGTTATTGTTATCTTTTGTTTTGTATAATTTTATTATTTAAGGGTAATAAAATTATTTCTTTGATATTTCAAGTTTGATGATAAAGTTATCAGAACTACTTACATCCTTGCACGGAAAATCAATGATCTGCAAGTATTTTCTAGTTACCCAAAAAGGCATGTAATGATTTTATGGTTTAAGTTTAATAGTTTATTTTGTTTAACAGATACTAACGAGTCCACGAGTAGTTTAATAATAATATTTCCGTAGATAATCCACATCATATAAATTTGTATTTTAGACAACGATATTAAAAACCTAGGGACATCACGTGCACTTAAAATGTGTCCTAATCAAGAAGTGCTTGAACAGCACTCAAGCACTTCTTGGTTCACAGCCAATATGCTGCAAAGCTCCGTAAACAGTTTTTGGACAGGTTTCGGCCACGATTTTGTCCGTGATGTTGTATCTAGGGTTTTTGATGTCGTTGATTTTAGATGTTAAAATGTTTTTACCTAAAGCAGAATGGTTGCCTACACAGTTGACGTGGATTCCATCGAAGAACAGGTCGCGAACTTTGATCCTCATGAAGGGGTCCTTCAGGTCGGTGAAGAACTCTTCCAGCGCTTGGTTCACAACGGTCGTGAGGCTTGGCATCATCTCTTGCACTGCCAAAATGGCAGCCTGGCGAAAGATAAAAAAGATAATCATCATCATAATGTCCCTATGTAGGGGCTTTCCCTATGCGGACGGGGGGCGGTACGGTGGGCACTAGGCCGTGTACTTAACCCCCACGCGCGGGGCATCCTGCGCACATCTGCGGGGTCCCCGTGATACTCCGGGAGACCCCTGCCGTGGAGCCCCGGTTAGGCCGGGGGCTGCTGGGTGCGGGGACGCGGAGAATCTCTAAGTGGGGATCCCGCGGCTTCGCATCAGGCCGCTTAGAGGGTATTCGCAGGGTTTTTTAGAAGATATTATGCCGCAAAGCGCCCTTAAGAGTTGCGGGGTCCTCAGTGGGCAGCCACTGAGGGGGCTCGTAAGGCTTGCGGGAGCCAGGTGTGAGGTCCGTTCTGCGGTGTGCCTCTTAAAGGTGCCGTCGTCTGTAAACAGAGGTTTTGCCTGCATCACAAAAAAAGGGGCCCTATGGATGGGATAGAATGATTTGGCTATGAACCATCACGTTCGCCCACTGCGGATTTGTGTCTGCTAATGATTGCAGATGTAGTAGGGACCAGCGGCTTCCAACTAACGTGCCTTCCGAAGCATGGCGGAACTCGAGATAAAAAAATGTTTTGGTCACGCTTCAGATACTCGGCCATTGCAATAGTTGCTTAACTTTCACGATCATTCATTGCTGCTTACCTTATTAAGCACCGTGTCAGTCTCTTTTGAATCGACTTCAAAAAAGGAGGAGGCTCTCAACTTATCTGTATATTTTTTTCGTGATCATTCCGCCAATTCTGAATTGATTTGATGGTTCTTTTTTTGTTGACGGTTGACGTACCAAACAAAGAAGAACCATCATAACAATTCAAAATTTTCTTTCATATACCTATATATTGTTTTAAACTTTCATGGTCACTAACAATATAGTAATTAATGTTATTTACGGGATGCTTACCATTTACCTTGTTTTAAGTGAGTTTCCGATATTTCGTAACTGTTGCATGCGCCAGTTACTCAGTGTTCATGGTGCTTGCAACAGTGCCGAAATATAGGAAACTCGTTAAAAACAAGGTACATGGTACAATCCCGTAAATAACAATTATTCATATACCTTCTTCATAATTAATTGTTCATTTTCCCATAACCACTAATATATTAATTATTATTTATAGGGATAGTTAAGGATATTCCTTAACTGTCCCTGACACCCAAAAAAGTAAGGGAAATTTTGTTTCACCAGGTGATTAACACTCACCATGTATGAGAAGTTGATGACCACGACCTCGTCATTCTCAGTAAGGGGCCCTGACTCTTCAGCGTCAAAGATGAACGTCTTCTTGAGAGTATACCTTATAGTGTCATTCTCTCCGTAACCGAGTATAGTCCTTTCGCGATACTCCCTGTGAAATATTGTATACAAATTGAAAATAAAGTTTTTATTTTCGCTAAATCAGATTTTGCTATTTTATTTTTAAAGTAGAGCATAGGGTTGCCAGATGGCCGGGATTTCCGGGATTGTCTCGGAATTTTGCGTGTTGTCTCGTGTCCACTAATTACATCTTATTGTCCCGGATTCCGATAATGTGCTAATTTCGTAACAAAATAAACTAATAACGAATGACACCTGCTTGATGTTTTAATTCTGGGGGTGATGGGGGGTTTGATTTGATGCTTTATTTTTTCAGGGGGTGCAAATGTCCCGGAATTGTTAAGCAAGCATCTGGCAACCCTTGTAGAGCAGGATTGCATGAGTACCTGGCATATTTGGCACCTTTTAGACATATTTCCTAAATAACCAAAAGAATATATGTACCTACATTCTGTCATCGAGAATTTCCATTGTTTAACGAACATAACTACTCAAGATCTTCACTAAATTTATATGGGATGGGACTGACTTACCAAAAACAGATTAAAAAAAAGGAGAAAAAGAATCATCCCCATCTAATAGTGATTGAAACAAACAAACTATTCGATGTAGAAGATCCTTTTATTTTCCTCCAATGGTTATGGTATTTGACACAGTTCTTGTTACTATACAAATACAAGTGCTTCATTTCCATATCGTATTACATTTTATATTACTAATAAATATTAATAAGAAATAAGAATAGGCACAGCGCAGCTGCTTTTAAACCTACCCATCGTCATTTTTTTTGTGGTTAGTTATATAAATTCAATTATTATTAGCCAATTACATGTTAAATATATTATTGAAAACGTCAATTTATTTAGTTGTTGTCATTGAAATCTTAGTCAATTCAATGTTGTAGTTGGTGTCAATTCAACTATAACGAATGCATATACTTAGATGACAATCATCTAAATGCTTAAGCATTATTTTGTGATTTTGTGTTTTAGTAATAGGAACTGTGTCATAAGTCAAAATCACCGAAACACTATTGTACGACTGTGAGAAGAAGTAATAAATCAATAAAAAAAGTACAAGAATAAAGTAGTCGTGATGTTGATTGTGTTTATAAAAGACTAGTGGGTGACACAGGTGGGCCATCGCCTGCGTGGAAAAATTGGTTTCCCATGCAAACTTCCAACTTACACCATCTTCAAAGATGTTTTCTGGGATAAAAGCTTTTCTATACCCTTCCGTGGTACTTAAACTACCTCTATACCAAATTTCACCTAATTCGGTTCAGCGGTTTAAGCGTGAAGAGGTAACAGACACTTTTGAATTTATAATATAAGTATGGATATGGATTGTAGCAAGTTTTTCGAAGAGATTGGCAAAACATTCAGAATGTGTCTAAGGCCCTGTAATTAAATAAATTAAATAAATAGTAATTGTTTCCGGACATCTTATACTTAAATAATGACTTAAGCGTTCGTTGTGTGGTTACTATGGGAGTTTGATGCTCTAACAACCTGCAACCGGTATATTATGTCGTGAGGGTTTTTTAATACTTTTGCATAATTATTTAGTTAATACCGTTTACATGACCTTGTTATGATTATAACTATTATTATATATCAAAAATATATAGTTGATTGAAACCGATATGCCTCTTAGTTCAAAAGTTATTTTGTGAAGCCGAAAGTTACGCACTTGTGTAAACAAAACCACTTTTTAAGAACGATAACAGTGATCATTTTTAAGAAGGAAGTTTTAGTAAATTTAAAATTTATAGGTATTATAAAAATATTGAAATAAAAATGATTTTCAAATATTAATTCGCTCTATTTAAATATTTTGACAACTGGCATAAATAACAAAACATTTTTGTCTTTTACTGGGTAAGTAAGTACATTTCGTAACAGATGCATTCAAGGCAATCTATGAACAGCTATACAGCTATACGGTACGAATCATTTGGATGTGAATATTCATGAAGGCCTTTACACGGTCGTTGCTGCTATATATCTACCTATCTACTCCGATGATAATAACAAGGGTTCCCAACTGCAGTTTGTGGCTAACGACCGACGTATCTCGTTAGCGGAGTAAGCTCTTCATCAAATCAAATCAAAAATGTATGTATTTAAATTGGAAGCACAAAAGAACTCCTTTGAAAAGTCCAACAATTTTCCCGTTTAAAGTTAATTTTATGCATACACAATTTCAGCTCAATCGGAATCCAGCTAGTAGAAAAAGTTTTACTTTCAAGATTTATCTACCGACAGACTAAAACAAAACTAAAAAAAAAATTATTTTATTTTATTTATTACAAGCGGAATTCGAACACAATTCGAAATATTGCAATTCTTTTGTTGATTGGGACGAATATGTACAGCTGTCAACCCTGATAGTAGGTACCTATATAAAATTATGGCTTTGCGATATGAACGTTCAGTATTGTCATCAAAATCATTTTCATGTATATTGTAGGTACTATAAAGTTTGCAATTACTTAAATACAGATCAATTGTGTCAAAAAATTATTAGATCTTCATATTAGTTCAATGGCCATGTTTGCTTGCATTGCTTTTTTGTCTGTCTTATCTTGATAAAGTTAATATTTTATTATCTTTTGCGGCATGAAGACTTCGCAAAACCACTTCGAAAAAAGTAGTTTCACATCAATCATCAAGGCCCTTTACATTTTTTCGTGACGAAAGTTAGCTTTTTAGTTAGCAATAGGTATACAGGATCTCCCAAATCTTTGCCGCATGAGGGAAAATACCTTATACACTTTAGATAGAAAGTATTATTTAAAAAATAAAACGAACTGCATCCAAATCAAAACTAATGCGTTTAAAATGAAAAAAATAATAAGTTAACGCCAATAGTTAGGTGGTAGACCCCCATGCCCCAGTAAAAATGTACATAAGTGCCTACCCCATCGCAATTCTCTAAAATGTCAGTTGTACTTAGCAAGATTTTAAACAGAACAACATTTTAAAATAAATCTTAAATGATTTTCTTTTTATTTTCGATATTATGTTACTAAGAGGAAGTAAATGTTCATGTGTTCATGATTGCGTCGTTCGATTGGTACAGTAAAATTACCGGTATTTTTTTTTCACATTTAGTTCGAAATTCGGTTGAGCCGGGTGTTTATTTTAAATTCTTCGAATGCGGTTCGTTTTATTTTTAAAATAAAAAGCACTTCAAGGCTGTTTTCAGCACAATCTTCTACTAATAACGAAAAACTCAAAAACCACAATCGTATTTTATACAGAGCAACTACGCATTATGAATATGACATATTAATAATAATAACATGGCCGTCGTACTAGGGTAGGGACATACAAAATTAATACATTAGTGTTGTGCAATGGTAATCGTTATTTTTTATTACGCTAACACTACCTTAAGTATTTCAGGTAATATTCCTCCATGTGGCAAAGTTTTGGGATACCATGTATGATTAAGACAGACAAAGAGAATTGATTTCCAATTAAGGAACGAAGTTCCTTTTCCGACTGTGCGGACAGGATTTTTCACAGTTGTTATCATGGTTAGAGAGAAAGAAAACGATCGCTACGTGCTAAAGTATTAGCCCGCCTGTCCCTGACAATTTATAGAATTTATAGTTAATTTTTCAGCCACCAGCCGCGCTGCCGTCGGTAAGTAGTGTCTGTTAAGTTAGCTGTTTATGAGTACAAGTAGATGGAGTTAGTTGAATAATGTACACATTTTCTTCGCGGCATTGGTCATTTCAAATTAGCACACAGCAGCCCGCTTTTATTGAGACAGCATAACGATCGCAGCGCCTCACTTATTTTGTCCATATTTCTGGGGCACTATTTTCTACAACGATCGTTCTCCTTCTCTCTAACCTCCATGGTTGTTATACTGACATTCGATATGGCGTAAAAACCCGTTTCGCGGGTCGCAGCGTATTGTGTGTAGTTGTGTGCTAATACACGACACTCAAGTTTGCTTTTTTTGATTGAGCGTGAAATTAATAGAAAGCTTCCTTTGACATGCGGATTTGCGTTGCTTATTTCTGAGAAGATGTAATGTAAGATCTATGAATAATAGCATTCACTGGTACCCTTAATAATGTCCTGATTCAAGGCGATATCTATGTATCTTTTTGTAGCTGATTTATCAGAGAGAGAGGGGAGGAACATCGACCTCAATGAGGTTCGATGGCTGATCCATTCCTGGTATTATGAACGATAAAATTGGGATGGGAAAAAATCGTGTTGTGAAGATAACTCCTGCAGTCTTATTACTCACGTCATTGCGGGGGGGTGAAGGAAGGATGAAACTTTATAATATTGAATTGCCATCAGGGGGTTTAAGATAGCATTTCTATGAAATATCTCAATACGATTTTCCATATAAGTTTGTCTGCTTTACGTTAACTTCCATACATGATTTAGGAAATTAATATTGATTCCCTTATGTTTCATAAAATAGGTAGTTACTGAAGGGTTCATCCCAAAGGGAGAACCTGGGGGACGTAGAGGAAGATACTTAAATGAGAACTCGAAAATACAATTTATTATAATCAACCGATCGAGTCTGTGCCTGAATTCAATCTGTCTAGAATATTCGATATGAGACAGAACAGAGAATGACATTTACTTATAATACAACTGCCAGCCGTAGGCATCACATAAGCAAAGAATTTATACAAGCAAGGAGGCCGTAACGTTACGGGTGTTACAGTACCTATCTTGTGATGTGAGAAATATTACGTGTTATGAACAATAGAATGAACGTGAAACCTCGTTATTTTAAACCCCCTGATGGATCTTCGTAACAATAATATACACCTTTTGCAACCTTGTGTTCATGATTTATTAACACAATTTTCCTGTAATGTCCATTAGGAAGACGAGGACTATTTTCATCGATTTCAAGTCAAAATTATAGATATCATATGAATTAAGGCGCGATTATTATTTGAATTCGTATTCGGGCTAACGACCAAGTGTAATTGCGCCATTAGGTAGGTTTTAATACAACCTAAATATATGAAAAACTAGGTTTTCTAAGGAACTTTATTATATAAAGAATATTTTTTGTTTGCATAATTGAGGTTGAGGTTGATCCTAGTATGATCCCCTAAATGATCGCACTGACAATATTTAATATTCACGAATTAATACCTACAGCAACATGTTACAATGATTTATTATGATTCTGGTAACTTGTATTGGAACTTTACATGATTTTTGAAGTGAACATTATTTCCGCACGCTTGACTTGGGGGATAAGCTGGCGAATGCGTTACGCGTTACGAAAAGTGTTTTCGTGCGAGGCGAACGGGATTTGAGTTGGGGATATAAGCAAGAGAAAGCAGTGCGCGCGCACATTTTGTTTCTCTCTTTTTATTATAGCTAGTAAATGAAATATGTATATATATATATATGTCCAACCGCCTACTAAATCACTGTAGCAAACACACGCCAACATGACAGTTAACCAAGGAGCGCGCCACCATCAAAAATCATTCTGATTAGAATTAGCGCACGAGTGCAAGAATAGCATAATAGCTAATGTCATCGAAAATGATTTTTTTTCGATGACCTTAATACAGGGTGCGACACAGTAGCAGATTTAAAGCACATCGCAACGGGCGTGGTTAAGGTGTTAGATTCTGCATGTATGCCGTTGCGCAAGTTTCGTTCTAACTACCCAGGTTTATTTGACAGTGTGGATACCATGGATAGTCTCGACTTATTTAAAGACTCAGGCGTCTTAATTACGCTCCGCAAACAGATACTTTGCAGTTCAGTGCAGATTTATTATTAGACTCGGCAATAACAAAACGCTCGGTACTATCTACTATGTGCAAAGTGTTCGATCCTCTTGGCCTCCCTAAGCGCTTGCATAATAGTCGCAAAAATTCTTCTTCAGAAATTGTGCAGCATTAAATTAGACCACCCTGTACTTGAAAGCTTTATTAAAGATTGGGTCAAACTATTAAAAGATTTTTCCGTTATATTTCAAATTAAAATTTCTCGTCGTGTATTCAGTGACAACCCAATCGAGTTGCAATTACATTGTTTTGCTGACGTATCGCAACGAGCCTATGCGGCTTGCGTTAACATACGATCACAAGATAGTGAAGGTCACGCTGTTGTCCAGTTATTAAGCGCTAAAGCTAGGGTTTGCCTATTAAACCAACCATGATCCCGCGTTTAAAAGAAGGAGTGTGTTTTAATTAAAATACGATTTTCTTTTTTAAATTGTATGTTGACTTGCGTTTTCCGCCATTAAGAATGTAGGAAACCTTATTTATAATAAAATAAATATGTTATTTTCTAAAAAAATAAGGAACTTTGAAGGGTGCCAGAAGCCACAGATACATACAGTACGACTCTGCATCTACTGTTTTTTCTTGTAGCTCTTTCTATACATCTACTGCTTTTTGATGTGTAACATCTTTCCTCTCGCTTTCCTGCAATTTGTGGGAGTGATTTCGTGAAATGGGACGGAAATGTGTAACATAAAGCCGCGAAAGCTCGCGCTATTTGATTTGATTTTAGAACATAATGTTCAAATGGCTTATTCCCTTTGTAGTAGGTTTTATTTCTTTTTTTACTAATATAAGGTGAGGTTTCAAATGTAACAAATCATACGCGACGTCTGTAAGGCTCGCTCGTTTTTTTATATAACGCATCCTTCCCATTATAAAATCGGATCTGGCAACACTTTGCGGAACTAACACTAATCTGTTTCCTTTGATCATGTTGATCGAAGGCAGTTTTAGAGTTACTTACTTATACACGTAGGGTCCGATTTCTGTTAGCATAGGTTTTGCCCCGCTGTTGATATCTTCGGCGTTCGTCACGTTGAACACGTAGATTTTGAAGGTCAAAGGCATCGGCAACTTCCGCCATTTCTCGAACATCACCGAAGAATTCTCGAGTTGCACATTCTGTAAAATAAATAGAGAACACTTTCAGACACGATTTTTTAAATAAAATCCATCGGGTTTCTAAATGTATTTTCCGTCTATAAACTTTTAATAGTATGTTTAATATCTACCCGATAAATATTATAATAGTTAAACAGTCATCATTATAATTAGCACAACTTAAATACGACTATCTTAATTTAATAGAATGCACCACGATTTTGAAGTGAAAACTTCTTTAGCGGCGTTGTACACTTTTTTTGTATGGGTAAAAAATGTTAAACTCGCGTCATGACACGTGGGCTGATCGCATCACAGGCCACGTGTCCTGATCGTAAGACAAAAACGATAAAATTGGAAAGTTTGTTGACTACAATATATTGTACGAAACATAGTAATATATTATTTTATCGTATTATAATAATAAGTATCTATCCAGGACGTCCAGGTGGCAGCTTTATTGCGAAGAAAAAGCATTTTTTTTACAATAGATGTCGTTAGGTGCGCTGAAATGAGAAATTCTGAGATATATATACATATACTTTTTAATTTAATATTTAAAAAAAAAATCTCATGTTTGTGCACGATAGCGATAAATAAATATTGAATTATACCACATAAATGATAGTACTTTTATACTGAGAAGAATCTTTTTTCTTAAAAAGTTTTATAAAATTTGCCTGTATTTGAAAACAAATGCGTTTATTTAGCATTGTCATAGTAGGCTGGCGCTCTGACAGATTCTTCGGAATGCGTTGCTCATTGTGTTGTCCAGCGAAAATCAGTTATTGTATATAGCCTTTTCATTTGTATGTACTAACTATTTATGTTTCCGTATTCGAGGGGCGGGGGGTGATAATGGAACTATCCCTCCTTCACAGTCCGTCAGTCTGTTAGGAAGTTGTATCTCACGAAACGTTACAGGCACATTATCGAATTTTTCAAAGAAGTAGGATTAAATTGATTTTTATCAGCTTATTAGTGTCCCTACTGCTGTGGCATAGGCCTTTATACACGTATGGATAGAATAGGGAGATTGGGCCATGGCCCACTAGGCCAGCCCAGTGCGAATTAACGACTACAGATGGTGCAGACCAACGGCTTAACTAGCCTTCCGAAGCTCGATATAGTAAAGTTTATGGTCACCCATCCAATGACCAACCATGACCGCAGATCGAACGCGTTAACCACCTGCGCCATCGGATTAATTTGATTAACAATAAAAAACTCTACTGCAGAGTAAAAATTTACTACCCCTTGCAGGACTTGATCAAATCGAAAAACGTCTGCACTAATTTGTATAAAATTTGGCACACATAGTTTATTCCCAGGATTGAGACAAGGATAATTTTATCCCGAAAAAAATTAGGTCTCCGGGGATTTTAAAAAACCTTATTATTATCATTTTTTTTTATTTCTTAATTATTTAACTGCTAGATGTTTAAATCTAAAGATTTTTTTACTAGAAAAAAATAATGCCTTTTTTTGCGGTCTGAATAATACTAGAAAGAATTTGTCAGGGCCATCGGAGCCGCGCTAGCATAATGGTCAGTGCATCCACCCGGATAGCGGAGGGTGCTGGTTCGTGTCTCGTCTGTTGCCTGGCCCGCGTGGAAATTTTTTCTAGTAAAATTTTCTTTAGATTTAAATGATTGCTATGTTTATTATTAAACATACCTATTACTATAAACTTGTATCAGAGTGTGTCACGCGAGTTAAACGTCCAAAGAGTGTCTAAAATGTTCTCGCTAATAAGGGGATTGATACAAGACAGTAACTGTACTGCAAATGTTATGGTGGCCCGGAACCCTTTGTAGGTGAATTAGACAAAATAAACACAGAGTTTTTGGGCCTTATTACAAGATGATGATTGGAAATTCCGAAGATTTCATAGAATAATAATTATCATAAGAGCAACAATATCAAATAAGTTGCGATCGCTTTTTGTTTTGCGTACTTTCATAAGAATTCATAGCGAAAGGAATATCTGTACGAGATACGCCCACCTCAGGTGCGAGTGGTCTAGATGCTCCAGACGGAGATGAGACTCTCCCATGGGGAGATGCCATCAGCCTGGAATACCTCTATAGGCACTCGGCAATAGTCCCCAAAGCCGGTTACGCTGTATAAGGTCATCTGCGACCAACAGCATATATACTCAAAAAAAAATACTCGGTTAAAAACCATGCCAAGTCCTAGCGGAAAATCGTCTCGTTAATAAGGCTTGTGTTATGTGATAGTAGGATAACGCATATAAAACATACATATTGATACATATATAAGTATATTTATCTATATATTATTTGTTAAATCACGCACTATACTGCAGAATTCGGTACGTCATACCTTGCCTTAAGCGTGCGGTAACAGCTCCGTTGGGTGGCTCGTAATTTTGAACCTCCATAGGTTGTAAACATTGTTCGAAAGTTCAAAAAAAAACTATTGAAATTTTCGAGAGAGTGTATTGAAAAAGATAATACTTAGTGTTTTTATTTATTTTCACGAGACCGAAAACGGCTAGGATTGGCTTAGCTTAAATTGACGTCACACACATGTAAACTTCCGGTATAAGTGACATCCATTATACCGTTTGACATTTTAATGACAGCCGTGTGTGACGTCACACCATTAATAGGTCCATGCGTCACACACAAGCACACACTACCTAGAGAAACATTTCAGCGGCAAAGCTGAAAGCAGAATTTTTTAGTTAGTTTTTTTTTACTGAAATGCGTAAAAAAACCTCATCAAAAATTCGACTTTTTATTAACAGGATGATAATCAACCACTTTTATGGAGCCCATAAACATTAATAAATAACGTGAGATCAATAAGAACCTTTACAAAAAGTTGTCAAAAAACCCCAATTGCGGAAAGATATCTAAGTACCTAGATATCGGTGTGGAAATGAAGCTGTCGTTTGTTGCTCCAGATAAACGAGCAATACGATAGAGGGCCTATTCCGCGCGTGACTGGGCCTACGGCGATATTTTGGTGTCTCTACAAATATTATGTGCCCGTTTGTTAGGAAGCTTGTTCAAATAGGTAGGATCTTCGTATAATATAGTCTTATTTCCTCCCAGGCGGGGGAGCGGGTGTGAATTCCTCATGGATACGCCCTACACCCGGCTGTAGGGTTATCTCTATTGACTTAGTAAAGACGAAAGAGGAATCAGCCCTCAGACTGTAAGTAAATTGTATAACATCTTTACGTGCCTGTGCCACCTGATACCTGAAAATTGGCCCACAGTACAAGTTGGCAAGTATGTATGCGTTCATTGGATACACTAATACTACTCAATTATTGTGTATTTTGTCCATGTCAAAATAAGTAAGGTCTGGCGGTCTTTGGATCTTGTACTATTATTATTAAACGCAATTTTGTACTATACAGGGCGTCCTACGGCTACCTCACACGGAGGGAAAGTATATTAAATATTGAAGACAGGACATTTTACTGAAAGAAGACATGATTTTATTTTTTCTGATAACTAGAACTGCATTCACAGATTTTTTAAAAATCGCCTGCTACATCAGGGAATCAAACTCGTGAAATGATTATGATAACCATCGAAAGGGTGAATCATAAGGATTTTTTTTTGTTAAATAACATAGCATTTCAAATGAAAGGAATGTGAATTACGTGATAAAAATAATAAAGTGTTATACAAACTGTAGTGCGTATGCATTTCTTTTTGAACTCACAGTTACAATGCGACTGGCAGAAATAATTTCAAAATGGAAACATAAATTTTCAAGTGTCTGTTCTTTTGTTTTTTGTGAGTTTCATTTTCATTTATTTGCATTTTTTTGTTAATTTACTTACCATGGCTTATCAAAAATCTTTCTCTATCTCTATCTTTCTTCCATTATTTAAACACATATCGAGAAGATTTGTCTCTATCAGGATATCTTTTGCGGTACCACCGCTAAGCTAATGATATGTCTTTGTGGTTCATAAAGTAAGCTTACATTAAATCTATTTTATATTGATGCGCCATGGTAAGTAAATTAACAAAAAATTGCAAATAAACGAAAATGAAAGTCACGAAAAACAAAAGAACACAGGCTTGAAAATTTATGTGTCCCATTTTCGAATTATTATTACAAATTTCAGCCAATCGCATTGTAACTGAATTCAAAAAGAAATGCATACGTACTACAATTTGTATATCACTTTATAATTTTTATCACGTAATAAGTCATTCCTTTCATTTAAAATTCTATATTATTTAGCAAAACATGATGGCTACCATAAAATATGTCGTGTTTTTTTTTTCGAAATTTCATGAGTTTGATTCCCAGTTATAACAGGCGATTTTTAAAAAATCTGTGAATGCAGTTCTAGTTATCAGGAAAAATAAAATGATGTCTTCTTTCAGTAAAATGTCCTGTCTTCAATATTTAATATACTTTCCCTCCGTGTGAGGTAGCCGTAGGACGCCCTGTATAGTACTAAATTGCGTTTAATAATAATAGTACAAGATCCAAAGACCGCCAGACCTTACTTATTTTGACATGGACAAAATACTAATAATTGAGTAGTATTAGTGTATCCAATGAACGCATACATACTTGCCAACTGAATGCAGTTCTAGTTATTATTAAAAATAAAATGATGTCTTCTTTCAGTAAAATATCCTATCTTCAATATTTAATATACTTTCCCTCCGTGTGAGGTAGCCGTGGGACGCCCTGTATAAGTAGTAATAATATAATGGTATAAACCTATCTGATTTTGATTTAGACTTGTTTACAATGTCTTATATTCAATATAAAAACGCCATTACTGATTGTTTACCAAACATTAACAAATTGTGTTTTGTAACTGTTTAATTATGATTTGCAAGTAGAATAGATATTACAAACTTATCATGTTTTATAGAAATGTAATCTCTGTGTTGTGATATATTTTTAGTGGATAACGGTGTTGGTTGTGTAATGACATTAATATATTTAATAGTGTTACTACATTACATACAATATTGCACATTTTTTTTATCCTAAATAAATAAAATAAA